GGTTCCAGCTTACGTACAAATTCGACTTAAGGACAGACAGCGGGAACAGAACTCGTTCTTAAACTGGGGGCTATCTGTACTGTCCTGCCCAACTATGTTAGCCACTGGATGCCTTTGTCGAGAGAATCCTGGTAACTGTAATATCTGTGTGGTTGGAGGGAGAGGTATAGTGCCCAAACAAGAACCCTTCTGGAGCTAACCTTGCTCCAGGCCACTAGTCCAGGTAGTGCCCAGTTTAAGAACAAATTCGAACCATTGTGTATTTAACTCGAATTTTGCTACAGTAGGCTCTGTTCTTAACTGTGGTTTGCCTGTAACCCGGGCACTCTTAATCTGGGGAATACCTATTTTGTAACTGCTCTTTTTTTTCTTTTGCAGCAAGAAAATGGGAACTTGTTGCCCTTCCTTTGCTAGCCGTATTGGTGACTGGTGTTGTGATGTTTCTCCTCTACTACAAAATCAAGAGCAAGCAAGTTGAGATGCCTTCAGCTTTGGTATGGGAAGTATGGAAGGTTTTTGAAAAGAGTATGGGGAAGTTAGACTCCCCTACCAATGTGCCTCTTTCCAGATGCGGAGGCTGCACTGATCTGAGATTGGTGCCGTGTCTGTATGTACCCATAATGCTGTGGGGCTTGCGCAGTTTTTCACAAACTAAGCCAATTCATTTTCCACTCAGAAGAAAACCTGGGAAGACAATTTTGCAGCATTTCTACAGGAGAAGTGGGGCAGGCAGTTTCCCGCTGGCAGGAATTCTTGTCTCCCAGCTCCTTAGAGTTCCTCCTCTTCCTGAAGTCAAGGCACTATGGTGTCTTGGTGTCTTCCTCCATATGCTTTCCGGTTGCTTTGAGTGATAGCTTTGTGGTTCCCCTAGACCAGGGTTTCTCAACCTTAGCAACTTTAAGATGTGCGGACTTCAACTCCCAGAATTCCCCAGCCCTTAGCATCTTTAAGATGTGTGGACTTCAACTCCCAGAATTCCCCAGCCAGCTTCTGGGAGTTGAAGTCCACACATCTTAAAGTTGCTAAGATTGAGAAACCCTGCCCTAGACACTGGCTAATAAGGTTTTATTTTTAATTTTTTTCTCATTGCAGAAAGTATGTGTTGTGAGGAAAAAACAAGATTAGGTAGGCCACTGGCCAGCTGCTGTTTTTCACATTGCCCTTCCCCATTGGTCAACTGGAAGGACACTGAGTGGAGAGACAGACTGTAGCAATGACAGTCCTGGTTTGATAAACAAGGAACCGATGGCAAATACATTAATGTGGAAAATACGCCATGAAGATAAACTGTTGAGCAACAACTGTTCGATGCAGTTTGGGGAAGTGCTACTTGCTTAGAGCTCAATTATACTTTCTGTTGGACATGGTCATAGTTAAGATAAATATAGCAGCCTCAAAGCAGGTGCTTCTGAAAGAAGTACAAGAGAGCTAAGATGGGAAAGGAACCTAAAGGGAGTGACTAAGAAACTGCCAGACCCACCACTCTTCTTGGCCTAATGCCAACCTTCATCTGGTCAGTGCAAAACAAATAGCAGCTTCTGGGATTGATGGCAAGAGATTGTGACAGTCTGGCTCCAAAACATCTGGAAGGGCACCAGGTTGATAATCCCTGCTGATGAAACCATCTTCACAAAATTTGCTTGCCAGTCTCTTTGCAGAGAGCGCTGATGTTGGATAAGACCATTGATCAGCGATTCCTGCAAGCGTTGAGATGTTTGATATATTCTTTGATAGATATTGGCGTACATTATGGACAGATGTTTAATGTTATTCATGTGCAGTCACTCAGAGAGACCTTGTTCCCCACCTTGTGCCCTGACACCTTTTTAACTGGGGATGCTAATGTGGACCTAGAGATTTTCTTCATCTTAAACAGATGCAATCTCTCTGTGGAGGGTGAGCTTTGCTCATAGCAGTGGGATTCATAGCTGGTATTTAACAGTTGATGGTCTTGGATTAATGACATCTGATGGCACTTATGATTCTACTCTTGAAAGCATCTAGTTTCTATGCAAGATAAACTCACTGAGAGGTCCCCTCAAAGTCCCCCCCCCACCCAGAGGGGACCTCCAGTGAGTTTATCCTAGATAGGAACCAGATTCATGGAGAATTCAGATTTCTCATGGTGCATTAAAAAGTGCAAACATCACTTTCCAATTAAAATGGGTCATTTTTAAAATCCAGCTATGAGCTTTAAATAGTTAACTGCATTCTCGTTGTTGAATATCAGCTGCTCTGTTTAAATTGTGCAACCGTTTAATCTTAGACTTGTTCCATTTCTTAAACGTGTTTCAGTAGCAATTTATATATATTCCTTAACAGATGTTCCGAGTTTCGTTTTATGAGCATTTCTTTTAGTCACATCTCTAAGTATGACATCTTTTTGTGGCTCTGTTTGAACTATACTACTTACATGAAGATACTGAAATCGGGGAGACATTTCAGAGAGAAATTCCTGAATTTTTACTCTTTTGCTGTATCTTCCTTACCAGTCATTCTAATGCTAATGAAAACAGAGAAGAGGGGACCACCTTGCTTCTCCCTTTTGTAATAATGCATTTTTGTGATAGAAATCCCTTTACAATTATCTTAGCGTCTTGTCCATTGCAAGTTCTCTATGTCCTTGAAAGCAAATCTGAGCACAATTCATCTTCTTCAGGATCATGACTATAAAAGTCAATTCCAAATTATCAAAAGCTTTCACTGGATCAAGAAAAATCATAGCCCCTTTCCCCTTTTTCTGATTAACATCATCCGTGGTTTTCAAAATACATCTGATATTTTCTCTCCTGTCTCTCTTTAGGACCAATCTACTCTGATCAGGGGGAATTGTGTTGACTAAAAGATTACCCAACCTCTTTGGAAGGATAGCTGTAAAGAATAGCCGTAAAAAGCTGGTAGTCTGTGTTCAATAAGGTGATAAGCCTATACAATTCTGAACAGATTGGGTTGTTCTTGTTATAAGGATATAAAAGGTTCCTGAAATGAAGAAGGAAGTTGTATCTCATACATATTCTGAATGAGGCTTTGTCAAAATTTCTTTTAAAGTCTTATAGCATGTTAAAAACCGATCTGGTCTTAGGGAACTATTCCCTTTTAACGTCTGTATCACATCCTTTATTTCATCTTCTGAAATTGGCTTAGTAAATAATTTCTTTTGCTGGTCTGTAAATTTTGTAATCTGTGTTGGATCCAAATATTCTTTACAGATCCAAATCTTTATTGGCATTAAAAGAGAGAACAGAAATACAAAAACGCTCATTGACTTATCGTAATATTAATCAAAGAGAAAGCCGTATTCATTGAGAGATTTGTTTAATATTCTTTAATCTTCTCCAAACTTGGTGTCTATTTTCCATATAGCTGAGAATAGTATTTAACAAACTGATTTCTCTTCTGAGCTCAATATATATATCTTACAATCCCAGATTGAAACGATAATTGTTTTCTTGTTTGCTAGGCCAACAATTTATCTGGTTTGTTACCTGTCTTGAAATATTTCTGCCTAACAAGAATGATCTTATCAATTATTTCCAAAAGATTTAGTTGGTTACAAATCACCTTAATCTTTTTGTTCTATAACCACGATTCTTGATTTTAATTATTTCAAATCATTGAACAATATATCTTTCTATTTTTGTATGGTTTTCTGATTGATGCCAAGGAAAAAAATAATTCTCTCATAAATGCTTTACTGGATTCTCGTAATGGATTCTTGATTTTTAGAGACATGAATCAGGTTGTTTTCCTAAATCTCGATAAATCGACTTCATACAAGTGAATAAATAAATGTCAGGAGTTGAATTAATTTGGAAAAACCTCTTTAACTCAAATTTTCACTTCAGTTTGATATCTTCTTGCAATAATAATAATAATCCACTCAATCTTCATCTTCTTACACCCCTTGAAGTTGGATTCACTCAATACTTAGGCCCAATTCCTGTGGGAACAGCCAGATCTTCAGAGCTCAAAAAAAAAGCTCTTATTTTTGAATAAATTTCATAC